CTAGAGTTCTTAGATCATTAACGAATGTGATATTCAAAACAACTTGAATTTGTAATCGACATAATAAATCCGAGTATTGAGTTTGGCCAATAAGAAATGTTGAAATTTGTAATATTTTGTATTTAAATAAACAACACTGAGTTTAGTCTTTATTTTCTTTCTTACCAATAATATACTAATGGATTGACAAATCAATAATATAACAATCTTCAATATTTTATATCAAACAAAACCACGTTAATATTTTTTATTGAAAATTTTAATTCATCTATTGATCAATCAAATATTTATTCTAGTTCTGTTTTGAAAAAAATAAATAAACTCAAAGGTAAATATCATGTTTTGATCTATATTAAATCTTGGTCTGTAATAAATCGTACAATTGATATAAAATTGTTAAGAGATCGATAAATTTAATTTTATGATCAATAATAAATTTAAATAAAAAAGAAGATTTTTATGGATTACAAAAATCGCCAAGTGGTCATTGAAGAAACGGGTTAAGTCAGATCAGTAATATATAAATAATTCGAAAGAATTTCGGCAATCGGAAGCGTAGGTCGGTGGAAACTCACTAACGTGAGCCAATCGTAAAAATAGAGCAACATATCGAAAAAGTTTTCATCTGACACGTCTATGGAAATGTGAGTTAGGATTATCGAGTTTGTTTAGTAAAACGAAGTAAGCTCGGTTGTAAAGCAAAAAATTTGTTCAAAACCCGTTCGCGCACGTGCCACCATTTCTGCATTGGTAAATACTCGTATGCAGTTAGAAAAAATTTGCGTTTTACGGTACAGCTTATGAAATTTACTCTCCGCGGAAACGTTTTACGAAAATAAGTTTACATACAGCTTATATATTATATTATTATAATAATGTAAGTTTACATATAGCTTATATATTATTATATTAAATTGATTTTTGTGCACGTATATAGACCGACACTTAATTACCAGTAAATTTTATCTTAATAGAAGTTTCATTTTCCATTTATTTCACATTATTTACATAATTTATATAGAAAAAAAATATGATTGTATGTCGAAAAGTTTTATATGTGTTTATACAATCATATGGATGAATAAATGATCGAGCTGCATTGAAAAATATTGATCTCAATTCATTATTCAAATAAAAATATTGGATTATAAATAATGTATAAGAATATGATTAAAAAATAATAATTACGCGTAAATTGAAAAACCACGTGTAGCTCGTCATATGTTCATTTTTTTTTCTTTTTCATAAGATATTACCTTTTCTATTGATTGTAAAATTTGTAATATACATGAAGACACATTTACAATGTGCAATCATATTATTGGATAGAATAAAATTGGTGGAAGGGGAAACTTCTCATATTGACGTAAAATCGACTGGTACGCTATTATTGACTGTCAATATATGTACATACATTTACATATATACATATACTTGCTCGAAAATGTTAGCCTGCAGTCTTCGTCTATCATTAACATAAGATTATTTATACTTATTTCTTTCTAGTATGAAAAAAATTATTTAAAAAAAAGCCATAAACTACTACGATAAAAGTAATATTACTTTTTATATTCTTTAGTTAGTAATACCATTTAGTTGATTTATCACTCAAAAAAATATTACAAACGCAAAAAGAGAAAAAATAAGATTATAAAAGGGAAACGAACAGGTGACATGTCAAGCGTTACACAGAACAGATTTCTCTTTAGCAGTCTTTATGGCTTTGTTTATTCATTCGATACTTGCCTACGGGACCTACGTCTCCTCGATGAAAAATAAGCAAATCTGACTAAAAGTCGTTCTCTGTTTTTTCCCTGGACAATTATATTTCATGTCATAATAAAAAAAAACTTTTGTTTGCTTTACTTTAGTTTGCTTTACTTTTATTTGCCACCACAACTTTATTGTGATATTTAACTGTATATATAGCGTGAATTTTTATATTTTATTGATAAAGATATTTTCTGGGCGAGAAATTATTACCTAAAATTAAAAAAGAATAGTAATAAAACAAAAAAAAAAAAAGAACAAAGACCAGTAACACAGAAAATATGAAAAGATTTTCACACGTATTACAATGTATATTGAAATTGATTAACATGAACAGATTACGTAATGGAATGTTATTTATTGACAAATATAGTCATTATTGTTAAGAGTAAATATTATTTTTCTTTTTTCTGTTTTTTTGCAAAAAATGCAAAATTTACAATTCATTTTTGTCTAGCTTTTCCAACACTTTCATCGCTATTAAAACGAGTTGTAAAAACTGAGTTCATAATAAAATAATTAATCAATGATCTCAGCGATATTTTTTATTGTGCAAAAAAGGTCAATAAAGTGTAGATATATGACGAAAATAAATATTTAACGAAAACTGGAACAGTTATTATATCATCATTGATTGATAATAGAGTGAAATAATAGAGCTCGAAATTGATTGAGATGCTTGAATGATGACGAATTACTCCGTGCACTATTTCCATGTTTGTTTTATCTCGTTTGTTTCGATTTATTTTTCTTTTTCCCTTTTGTTTTCTTTTGAGAAACTCGTCATCTCACCATAACGATTTCCTTCTCTTAGATTACATAACACGGTTGTCCTAAGCGGCAAATCTAAATCTGCAAGCATCCAGCCTGCCAACTATCCTTTTTTCGTCCGCGAATAGATACCGTTTGCGAGTTAGTCACCAAGATTCACCGAGCTCATGGCAAATACTGTTTACACAGGAACGTTCTATTAAATTTGGATGATATCCATGAAATAATTTCCTAGAAAATTTCACGAATTTCTTGTAATTCGAAAAATTTTTAACTTGAATACGAAGAAACTCATCTCAAAGTTTTACTTCAGATTATTAAATTAGATTAGAATTACGTATTGACAAAGATAAATGATATTAATTATAAAATGTCAAGTATATCATACAAGTTTATGATAAAGCTTAAAAACATTAATTCTATATAATAAAGATACTTGATATCTCGTTCATTAATTAACTTTCCATAGCCTAGACGCTAGGAGCGGTAATTTAAGTGCTGCAATTCATTGGGCCGACGGCGATGACCTTGGAAGACGTACTTACTTTCAAGTGGGCGACGGTCAACGATCAAAATTGAAGATCACCAAAGTCAAATATAAGGATCAGGGTTTATTCAGATGTAGAGTTGACTTCGTCGATTCCCCAACAAGGAATTTCAGAGCGAACCTCACCCTCGTCGGTAAATATCATATTACATTTGAGACTGTTAATGTGTTTTCAAAGAAAAAAAAAAAAAAAAAAGAAAGAAAGAAAAAAAAAGGAAGAGTAACTCATATTCGTGGAATTGTGAATTACGTTTGAATTGAAACGTAGACCATAACTTAACCGTAAGCTACTTTTAAAGGACGAATAAATAAAAATTAATTGAAGATTTTCATCTGGCCGTGAAATCAACTATGATCGCCTGGGGAACAGTCTGCTTAAGTTAATAGGAAGCAATTAAAATGTACTCTATGCTAAACGGTCTCACAATTATAACCCTGATTCCAAGAAATTTCGTTAGAGCGGCTCCTTTTTATATTTTTTCAGAGAAACCGACGAAACCAGTGATATATGACGCCCAGGGACGCGAGGTAACAGGCATAGGCGGCCCTTTTCTCGAGGGTTATGGTCTTCTTTTGACCTGCCAAGTGTCAGGAGGTAAGATTATCTTTATACTTCACGCCTAGATTTTATTCAAAAAAGTATAAGTATCAAACGCGTCAAGTCATCTATCTCAAATTGATATCGAATATTTTATTTTTATTTTTTTTATTTTAGGAAGACCAAAACCTTCGGTAACGTGGTGGAAGGACGGTGAGCTACTTGATGCTGTAGATGACACTCCCACAATTGGCTCGTTGAGCAAGTTCACAATAAATCATCTTTTCATTGGCAAAGTTACGCGGGCATTATGGGGCACAAAACTTGAATGTAGAGCTCAGTCTGCCCCAATGGCGAAACCTATTATTCGAGAAGTACCTCTTGATATTTATCGTAAGTAATTATTTAAAATTATATCTATATTATCGATATTAATGAAACTCAGAATCGCGATAATATTTTTCTTTTGATTCCTTTTCTTAATGTCAAATCGTTCAGGCGAAAGAGGAAAAAAAATTGAAAGATTTCATTTGATTTAATTAAGTAATTGATCTTTACCGACTTATACAAAATTTTATAACTTGAATATATTAAAAAAGACACTGTTGGAGTTGAACGTATTGTAAATCCCGCTTCTAACCTCTAACGCAACCTCCCTAACTTAAAATTAGAAAGACCGAGTTCTGAGACCCTCAAGGTCATTCCTTTGATTTTAAGCACGCTTTAAAGGGCACTCGGAACGGAACTCTCCTCGTCGTTTTGCTTTGTAAAAGAGAACTCGGTTTTGCTTCATTAAGTCTCCTACAATTTTATTGAGAAAAATAGAAAAAAAACTGAATAATCAGATCGTTGTTGACGAGCTTACCAATTGAAAGTAAAAGCAACTTAGCAACGACGTAAGCAAATATCCTGAAAAATTTAGTCAAACTCGCTGACGAGAGGAAACGAAGCTCTTTCATGATGATATCAGCGAAAAAACTTTATGCGACCGCGAAGAAAGAAGTTTAAATTTAGGAGAGTCAAGCGAACCGCAGCGGAAGCAAAGCGAATTCCGGCGGTTTCGCGCACTCTTCTCCTTAACTCCTTTGGCGGCTGCATTTCGGAGAATTGTCGTCGAATATAAAAATACACCCCTCGAATGGCGACCAGACGAACACTTCTTTTCGATCGTTACATTCGTTTTGCGGTGAAACGACTTTTTATTCTACACATTTTACTGACTCTAAAGAAAAAAAAAACATTAAAAATAAAAATATTAAAGTGAAGTCGATAATAACTTTCATAATATTGAAGTCAATATCAAGAAATATCGTTCCTATTCAAATTCATTTTAATAATAAAATGAAACGTTATTCTATCTTATTCGTATCTTACTCATCAATTTCTTCATTGTTATTTCAGTTAAACCGGCCGTGGTGAAAATCATTTTGAGCGACGAAGAAATGTACGCCGGTCGTCCGATCGCTGCAAAATGCGAAACTTGGGGTAGTTCTCCAGCTGCCAGAATTATTTGGAGATTAGGCGACGAAGTGATCGGTGATCCTATTGTTTCCATTACACAGAGAAGTAATTCCACCGTTAGTAAGATCGTTCTTGCTCTCGGAAAAAATGACGATGGCAAAGAACTTGCTTGCAAAGCTGAAAATCCTAGATTTCCTGGTGGCGTTCTCGAAGAAACAAAATCTCTTCGCGTTCTTTGTAAGTTTTCTAATACTTTTCGAAATTCTATGTTTTGCTAGATATTTCAGTTTCTTTAATAATATCAATTGACAGATGCACCGGTCCTAACGGCTCACCTGGCAACAGGATATATTCTAAATACATTGAGAGAAGGGGATGATCTGAAATTGGTCTGCGACGTTCAGAGCAATCCACCGCCGACAAAGGTCACTTGGTATCACGACGTAAGTATGCTTCCTTGGAAACATATCGCTAGAGATAATAGAAAATTAAAAAAAAAAAAGTATATATATATATAAACTAGAAATAAAAGATAATAAAGAATTCTTTAATTCAGGATATACGATTAGAACATGACGTGAGCGCCGGTATTTTGATATCCTCCAATACGCTCACTCTTCGTGTTCTCACTCTCGACCACTCTGGTGAATACTCTTGCGAAGCTACAAACTTTGTTGGACAAGGACGTAGTTTGCCTCTTCTTATTCACATGAAGTGTAAGTATAGTTATAGAATAAATAAAATATATAAAAAGAAAGTAAAGATCGTTGAAAAAAAGGAAATGAAAATTGTATTATTCAATGACATGCAGATGCTCCAAGATGTAGAGAGGGTTATGAGAGGCGAGAAATAGCGGCTGTTCGACACGAAACAGTAACCTTGAGATGCGAAATCGAAGCAGTTCCAGACGAGTTGATTCGATTTTCCTGGAGCTTCAATGGAACGCGAGGCGACGTCCTACCGTTACCAAATTCAAGAGTTCGGGATAATGGCCTCGTTAGTTTACTGGATTATACTCCTAGTGCGGATACTGATTACGGTACTCTCGCTTGTTGGGCTAGTAACAGCATAGGAAGGCAAAGGTTACCATGTTTGTTCAACGTAGTACCGGCAAGTAAGTACTATTATCCATTAACAGAATCGATCAAAAGATGTACGTAATATGTAACATACATACCTATATATATCGTAGTAATAGTTTTGATGTCGTCACCATAAAAGTGTGAGTCTTCTTCTCGTTACATTGATGATTCACCGAGGATAAAATCATAGGAACTTTTATAATACCATCTCAAATGGATTCGGTATTTTATTTTTTATAAAGGAATTTTGGTGAATATTACTCGATAATTGATATGCACTTTTCTGTTTAAATCAATAATTGATGGTAATGGATAGATAAATATAAAAAATTACATTTAATCTAAGAAAATATTTTTCTCCTTGGAAAACTCATTTCAAAATATTCTTTTTTTTTCTTTTCTTTCAGAAATACCACAGGCACCAATAGATTGTTCGTTACGCAACGAAAGTAGTTCCTTAGAAGTAAATTGTATTCCTGGTTCGGATGGTGGTTCACCGCAGCACTTCCTGCTGGAGGTTCGTGGTCCCTTTGGTAGTTCTGGCATCGTACAGGTCATTCCACAAACCCTTCAAACGCCCCAAAGCGATCAAGGTGCAGTGAGCGAAGCACCGCCTATATATCAAGAAAGAAATCCAAGTCCTACTTTTCGACTTCACGATCTCAAGCCAGGCTATGATTATACTATTTACGTATATGCCGTCAATGGACGTGGAAGAAGCGAGCCCACTCTTCTTAAACATGTACAAGTTGCTGAACCTATCGGTGGGAAGCTCGAAAGTACTGGGATTTTTCTCGAAGATTTGAAGAAAGCCATTCCTCAAGTCGATTCGCAAAGCATGATCATCGTAATGGCTTTGATAGGTATAAACGTAAACTTAATCCTCGATAGCCAACGATCCGGTTGTATCAATATTCGTCTTGTACGTATTTGATAGAAATACGAATATAACTTGGAAATATTTTTAAAGTTTAACTTAAGAATTTATCTATCTATATTCAAATACAATTTAATATAATTGTTTCTTATTTCTATATATAGGTGCAGCGGCATTGATTTTGGTAGGCATCGGTATAGTGATTGGTTTGGCAATTTGCAAAAGGAGATCCAACAGGCCCGTTGTTTCGAGTCCTGATGATTTTACTACACCAACTTATATACCCGCACAAAGAATCGAACCGAGAATTAGATATACGACCGACGGCAGACACTCACAAAGAAGAAGCTTGTATGTCGAAGAAAATCGAAATGGTAAATTATAGATTATTATTCATTAATATTTGATATGCGTAAACACGTAAAACCGATATAAACACGACAAATACGTCTGAACTCGTCGAGTGTTTGTAATATACTGACGGTGATAACTTTATCGTGACATTGGATAACCACGAAATGATATTCAAAGATAACCTTCGACAATATAAATATGAATCGTGTAAGATAACAAAGGACATACATATATATGTAATAATCGAAATAAAATTTAAAACAACATTGAATGGATAGACAATGTTTTTTTTTTAAGATAAATGAAACGTTTTAATTTTATATTTTTTTTATAGACCCTGATATTTTGCAACAAGTGGAAGTCGACTTACAAGTCTAACGGCGAAAATTTTAAACGAGCGACGTGACTTGCTTGCGAAAGCATAATCGTACCACCAGTATTTTAATTAAGAAAATGAAATCTATAATTGTAACTTTCACAATTTTTCCGATTAATTCGCGAAGTATAAACATTAGCATAGATAGTATTATTCGCTGAAAAAAAATAATAGTGTACAGTATTTCGTGACAAACGAGTAAAACTTAACAGTAAACGTTGTCGATATGTTAAATATTTTACTTCATATTGTATATTAGATTTTAGCATGAGACCGCGATAATTAAGATAATAAATAAATTAATAATAAGTAGATAAAAAAAAGAAAAGTATATAAATCGCTTAGCCAAAGATGTACGTACATTTATTTTTCCATGGCTTGCGTGATACATGCATATTGTAATTCCAATAGTAATTCCTACTTTCGTCGTAATCCTACTCTTGATGTAAGTAACTTATAAAACATTATACCTCATTCGAGTAAAGCAAGCGGGCGCCAACTTAAGAAGCGCATAGTATATTTTAAGCTCGTCATTAAGAAAATGCCATTAGCGTAACAACAAGCGTATCGTGTCGATAAAGTTTATCTTGCTTTTATATACAAACATGTAAATATTTTTGAAAAATGACATGCGTATCGAAGAAAATTAAATGAAAAAATATATTGTAAATTATAACAATCCTAAAAAAAAAACAGTGTTCCTTTTAAAAATTAAATCCTTATATCCTGTATTATTTTCGAAGAAAATTCGAAACAAAACCGACGACTAATTTGAAAATTTCTCCATCGAGCTTACGCTATTCCAAGGAATCGAATGAACTATATCAAATTAGTTAGCAAAATAACTATGTATAGTTATATATTCAATTTAACTAATATCGAACCAAGTTATAGTTTATGAATGGAAAAATCAATAAGTGGAAAATACTTGATAAAAACCGTTGAATCAATTGCATTTGAGTATTTTTGATCGCGTCAATTATTTTGAATATTGCAATCAATTTCCATGTATGTAGATTGAACATACACATATATCCGGATACGTAGTATGGATCATATGGATTCTGAAAAGCGTTCATTCAAATTTGCGGCGACCATCCGACTTGCTTGCATTCTGTCGAAACTTTTTACAATAATTTCGTGGACGAATCTGCTTTACATTCATGGTCATTCGCCGAACGTTTTCCACCAAGACCAGTCCAACAGTCCATTAACGTAAACCTCATCAACGTCAGAATAATCATATCACAAAACAGGACAGATATTCCATTTCCACAAATTAGCACTCGCGCATGGTTATGAATCGGAGAATAAATATCATTAGTGACGTCAGTAATATTTTTGCTAATGGCGCTTTGCGCCTGGCAATAATTTTTCATTATGAATATCTTTCAAAATTCGCTAACCAGAATCTGAAAAATGATTGGGCGGCAACCATGAGAGAAAACTCCTCGAAATAAAATAATTTTACTTATATTTAATATCATTTAAAAAAAAAAGGGGGATAAAAAAAAGCGGAATTAAATTATATTTCTTATCGTACGAAAGTCGGATATTTTTTTTATTTTTTTTTATTTTTCCATTAATATTTTACGTAGCCGAGGATATAAAACAGTAACTCTATTCGAGTAAAATTGACGATAACTTCGAAACAATTTATTTTAATTCGAATGTTTCATCGTGAGTTTGTATGATGAAAATGTTCGAGGCTCGAACGAGACAATATTCGTCCGATGATATCGACCAACTCCCAACGCGGTGTTAATTTTTTCTGCTATCTCCGTATAACTCGAAATAATAATTCCTCTTGCCTTTACCTCCATCATGGAGGTAAAGCGTGACTCGAGCGTAGGAGAGATAATTTGGTTATGGTACAAAAAACATCTAAAATTGAAAGTTGACTTTTCCATAAGGAAGAACGACGTTTACTTACCGCTTTGCAGTTTAGAAATAATTTGAGAACGATCTAAATATTCGAAAAAGAGCGACTTCTTTATGAGAGAAAGAGAGAGAGAGAAAGAAAGAGAGAGAGACACGTAATGTCATACGACATATTCTCGTGTGTTACGACACATACGTTTTTCGTGTGCGTTTCGTGCGCGTACGTGTGTTTGCCATCTAGCCGATTGCACACGTTTCGTGGTGCTTTGCATGGTAATCGTATTTATCCTCGAAGGTTTTTCCGCGAATCTGCTAAAAAGAGAGCTAGCACCAATCTCGGAAGCGTTAGCGACGGTATATACTGTCCTACCTTTCTGTTTCGTTCCTTAATCGAAATTTTAATGGAAAGATCACAAAGTCGGTAAGCCAGTGCACACATGCGCATTGTCACTTGACTTGCCGTCGTCGTTCACTTCACTTTCAACGACCACCAATGATATTATACTTCTTCTCAACCATATCATACTGTTTACATAATCCTACCATATAAGAAATTCTAAACTTTACTTCTGGCGTACATTTAAAAGAAAAGTCGATCAAAATAACTTCAATGATTTTCCAAAACCAAAATATCTTTTTGGAATACATTTCAAAAAATATATCAAATGTTAATATTATACCTACAATTTAATTGATACATTACTACCATAATTTCCAGCTAATTTTCAATTGTAACAAAGTTAGAAATGTTACAAGTAGTCTCAGATTATAATTAAATTGTGATATCTCAAAAGTATAAATGAAGTTATAAGATCCTTTGAAAGTATCTACAAATAGTAATTAAATATATTGAAATGTCTATGATTAAAATTAACGGGAATAATACTGTTTCATCATTTTTACGAACTTACAAAAGATTTTCTAAATAAAATGCTATTTTATAAGTTCGCAATCGAGAAGCTTAGACAAATAGAATCTTATTCTTTTTCTATCTCTTTATCGCGTCCCCAGAGATCTAAAGGAAACACAAGAGATAAGAATTTCGTAAAAGATAAAACGAATTCCATAATCGACTATGCATCCGGTATTTTACGCGGCTCCGCATATTCGACGGACACTTGGAAGACATACGAGACGATCCTTCCGGTTTTAAGAGTAGGTAGGTACAGGCGTTCCATCGTAACGTTTACGGGTGGATCTTTGCTGCTTCCTTCCTTCCTGCAGGCAGTGCCGTAAGGTGTTTTATAGCGTGACATCCCACTCTCACGGCACCAAACTCGCACACTTGTACATACAAACGCAAAGACGCGAAGTTGGAATGCGAGGATATGGTAGTGGAGGGTTGCGAGTAGACACCAAGAAGGAACGACGAGGCTAGTTGGAAGGAAACAAGAAAGCGAACTAAGCGCCGCAGAACGAGAGAGAGAGAGAGAGAGAGAGAGAGAGAGAGAGAAAGAAAGAGAGAGAGAGAGAGAGAGAGAGAGACAGAGGAAGGGAGAGATGGGAGGTGATAGGTGGGTGTCGAGCGAGCATGCGGCTTACGTAATATCTCCCTGAGACCGTCGTCTGTGCTCTCACAGGAATATTTCATGCTTGTTACAGAAAATAATTAGTGACGGCAAGCAGGCGAAGCAATGTACTAAGCCGCGTCGGCGTTACGAAACAAATTTGCTGGCCGTGCAGGGCGTACCGCTATAACGCGTTGGTCTAGGCTGCCGTCGGTATCGGTGTTGCTGTCCGTGCAACCAAACGAACGAGGATGGTGCCCGTCCCTTCTCAACCTCACCGCCGAATGTTAGACATAAAACGTTTACGAGCAACGATGGCTAAGCTCACCACCCCCCAATCTGCCTACCTCCAACCTTGCACATCCCTTCTTTAGTCTTGTACACATTCTGACCCTCGTATCCGCTAACCATCGAG